GTCCACAGCAGCATCCTGGAAATGGTCCAGTGCCATGGATGAGTCGCTCCATCACTCCACCTGCCCTTACTGCCTCATCTGGGCCGGGTGTTGCTGTGGTCTCTTCATCCTCAGTGACCCCAGAGCCATCGAGAGCATCTAGAGAAAAACCAAAAGACACTGAGGATGTGATTTTGTCCTGCTGGCTTGTTCATACAACATCAGTCAATGAAACCTGAGTTTCAGAAGCTTTAAAAGCATCATCAAATAATGTCATGAAGCTTCTGAAAGTCAGTCTCCCATCGACTGACTACATGACATAAATTAAGTGTCTCTTTTATGCACACGACCTGGTTCTCCTGTCGCCCACTAAAGAAAGGCTGCAGGACAGCCTGCATCTTCTGGAGAGTTACTGCCCGCCCTGGGCCATGAAAGTAAACCTCCAAAAAACTAAAGTCAGGATCTTTCAGAACCGCTCCAGATCTCAGGGACTAACACACATATTCACACTATCACACAAATCAATTCAAACCGCAAAAACACATTTATCTCTGCCTTAAAATCACCTCAACAGATAACTTTACTTTGGCTGTGAAGGAGCTCAAAGAGAAAGCTCAAAGGGCTTTCTATGCCATAAAAAGATAGATTAGAATTGACATTCCTATCCAAATCTGGCTCAAACTTTTCAAATCAATAATTAAACCAATTGTATTATATGGCAGTGAGGTGTGGGGTCCATCTATAAAACTTGACCTTGTAAGATTTGTTCTCCTTTTTCTCCATTTGTCTCTTTTAAAGCTTTAAAAAAACTCAACAACCTCACATACTGTGCTCAGATTGTTCTCCTCAACTAAAGACTCTGGATCTCTCACATTTGTCTCTTCCGGCTCAATCGGTCCTTTTTGAGTTGGACGTGCTACTTCGGCTGTGCGTCATCAACCCGGAACTAAAGTTCGATTCAGTTCGATTTGTGAACCGGCTCGACTTTTACCATTCAGATTCTGTTTGCCCCTGCCTGGACTATGGCTGCACACCTGGATTATCTCTCTTTGCCTTGCCCTGTTGGATATTGTTCGCCGGAGTCTGATCACGTCTGTCCTTGGACTACTCTTGTGTTTTGCCCGTGCCATACCTGTTTGCTGGTTTTAGACCCTGCCTGTGTTATTGACCATGTCTCTGTCTAATAAAGCTTGCAAATGGATCTGCACGTCTCTCGTCTCGTTCGCCCTGTTACACTGAGCACAGTGTGTGATGTTGTTGAGATCTCTTCTAAAGCTTTAAATGAGAGAAATGTGTGAACATCAGAGTCTCTAGCAAAGGAGAAAAATCTGAGCACACTGTGTGATGATGATGAGGTCTCTTATAACATTTTAAAGGAGGCCATTGTGAGAGTGTGAGTTTTTGTCTCATGAGACAAGTGTGAGAAGCAGGAGACTCAAGCAAAAGTCTATATTCAATCTTAAAATAAACTAATTTCTGTATAAATAATCTGAAAAATTTAAGATGTTAAAGAGATCTCACTTTAAATTTTTCTCTCCTCTGGGAAGTCTCCATTTGATGTTAAAGTAACCTCATTTCTGTCTAGCAGAAACATTTGGAATGTTAAAGAGATCTCTTATTTTATTTTAGTTTTTCATCCCTCTGGTTAGCTTCAATGTAATTTATCCACACTATTTCAATCAAACACAACACATGCATTGTCATATTTGAAGTTGTTTTGTGTAGACAGTGTTTTATTGCACAGTGATTTAACAGAGGAAATCATGACCTATATTTATATGCATGCAAAAATGGGCTGAACAAGACAAACTTTTTAATGCTAAAAAAACACAGGTACACGAGTTACATTTGTTAAAAAAAGAAAGTATTGATCTTATACTAAACATCTTGCACAAATTGCATATAAGTCTTGTGAAATGTGCTGTACAATGCTGGGCACTGATGATAAATTTAAACTAACCCTACGTATTCTGAAATGTATAATGCTATTTAAATAATACTTTTAGTTTTTACATTATTGGTAAAAAGTTTAACATTTCTCCTAAATAAAAATTAAAGACGTCTTAAAGAGCAGGTCATATGGTATTTTAAAGTGTCCTAATATTGTGTTGGAGTCCCTAACTGTGAACACTTAAAACAATAATGGTGGGTACGTTAGCCGAGTGCTAATGTGACTAACTGATGAAACAATACAGTTTGTAAACCAAAA